CCCTATCTTCTAGGGCTGTGCTCCCTCCCAGTGCACTTACTCTGACTTTTCTGCCGGTGTCGCTGGGACAGCCCCTGCTGCTGAGGCTGCCACTACGGCCTCAGCGCAGCAGCGTCCGGGTAAGGGCCGTCGCCCCAAGGGGGGGCGAGGCGGAGGGAAGGGTGGTGGGGGTGGTGGAGGTGGGGGCAGGGACAGTGGTGCAGATGAGGGGACCGGGGCTGGTGCCCTGAAGCAGCAGCAGCAGCAGCAGCAGCAGCAGCAGCAGCAGAAGCAGCCACCTCAGCAGAAGTCGCAGTAAAAGTAGCAGCCGCCGTGAGGACCCCCACCGCTGTGGTGGCATTGGTGGTGATGGTCGTGGTGGTGCGTCGGGCAGCACGGTGCTGGTGGCAGCTCCAGTGTTGTCACTGCCAGTTCAGCTTCATACCGGCCCCTACCGCGGCACTGTCTACGACCGTCCCAGTCCCACCGCCGCTCGCTGCTACCGCCGCCTCGACGACCTCTTCCGTCTCCGCTTTGGTCCCACGTCGGACCCTCCAGACTGGTACGCCCTGGCGCGCCGCCGTGTGCCTGTCTTTGAGCTTGACATGGATCAGATTAGGTCTGCTATCTATGTCATGTATGCTGAAGACTCTAGTGTGATTGGACCCTATTACCCGGTGTTGCCTAGTGTAGGTGTGTCCACTGAGTGTAGTCTAGTTTCCCCTGTTGCGTCAAGCGTAGGACCATCAATATTGTTTAGCCTCGGCTCCACGCTAGCTCCTCTGCCTGCGAGCGCTACTGACGCGCTCTCGTTCACGCTAGACTTTGGTGCGTTCGCCTGCTTCTTTCGCAACCACACTTTGCTCACGCCGCTTGCCGACCCTGCCGCCTGTAGCGCTTGCTGACCCCTCCTCAGGTCCGGTAGTTGCCCGTAGCTCCACTACCCTTCCCTTCCCGCCGGTTCCCTCGGGCTTTCTTACAGGCTTGCACATCCCCTCGTTCTCCAGGAACCTAGTTGGTGTCGGCTGTCTCCAGGACCTCGGCATCACCACTACGTTCCCAAGGCATGAGCGGTACGCAGTCTGTATCGAGGCTGCCACTGGTGCCCCTCTCACCACGTTCCCCCGGGTCCCCGTGTCTAGCATGTTCAAGCTAGGCACCGCGTCCCCCCCGGTTGGAGCATCCCCCCAGGTCGCCGCACCCTCCCAAGTAACTGCAGCCTGCTCGTGTCGGTCGCTCACCCACCCTTCACTGCTGTGGCACCACCGCCTAGGTCACCCCGCACTCCCGCGTCTGTGTCACATATCCCATCACGGGCTTGTCTTTTGTCTCCCTGGGATGCTCCTTACCCTCCCTTCCTCGCCTCCACCGCCATGCATGCCCTGCGTCGAGGGCCGGCTCTGCCGTGCTCCTCAATCCTCTTCGCTCCCCCCTACCACTACGCCACTTCAGACCCTGCACCTGGACGTTTGGGACCCAGCCCTCGTCCCTGAGTCGCGTCACGAGCACTACTTTCTAGTGCTTGTCGACGACTACACGCGCTATACCACAGTATTTCCCCTGGAGCGGAAGGCCGACGTGACCAACGTTCTTACCCCGTGGGTCGTAGCAACGCGAGTCCACCACGACCTTCCTGTGCTGCGTCTTCACTCCGACCACGGCGGCGAGTTCGCCTCAAGTCGGCTTGGCCAATTGTGTCCTGCGGAGGGCATCACCCGGTCGTACACCCTGCCGGAATCCCCGCAGCAGAATAGGGTCGCTGAGCGACACATCGGTTTGGTCATGGAGGTGGCTCGTACCTCCATGATCCATGCCGGTGCCCCCCATTTTCTGTGGCTGTTCGCTGTTCGCTACGCCGCTCACCAGCTTAACCTGTGGCCACACTCCCAGCGGCCGCAGGTTTCGCCGACCCTTCTCTGGACCGGGCTCCCTGGTGACGCAGCTGCGTTCCACATCTTGGTCTGCCTTGCTCACGTTCGTGCCTCTGGCACAGACAAGCTCACTACCCTTACCAACCCCTGTATCTTCCTTGGTTTCCCCCTCGATGCGTTTGACTGACACTTTTACCACCAGCCGTCTCACCGTTTCTTTCACTCGCGTGACGTCACTTTTGACGAGTCTATCTCCTTCTACACCCGCTTTCCCCACCGAGGTCTCCCAGTTGCCCCGCCCCTGTTACTGGTCCCCATTGCCCCGATAGCCCCTTCTCCTCTTCCTCCCCATCCTGCCCCATCTAGTGTGTCTCACGTCACTCCCCTCCTGTCCGTTGTCCCGGTGGAGGAGTCGGCTGACCCCGGGGGCCCCACGGCTTCGGTTTTGCCGCCTGTCTTTGCCCCGGTGTCTCCTCCTCCACAGCCGCAGGAGCCGCTGTCGCCACCGCGACCGCAGCAGCAGCCGCCGTCGCCGCCGTTACAGCAGCAGCCACCGTCGCCACCGCAGCCGTAGCCGCCGTTGCCGCCGCCGCAGCAGCAGCCGCCGCCGGGGTCCGCGAGCTCTGGGGGTGCGGGCGTTGATTAGGTTGCTAGTCCTAGGGTACTGTCGTGGCTTGTCTCGGTGGTCTTGGGGGTGGCACCGATGCTGGAGAGGGTTCTCGTTCTAGGGGTGTTGTCATGGAGCGTCCCAGAGGTAGCCGTGGTGCAGCCGGAGGTTCTGGTCTCGGTGTGGAGCAGCAGCAGCTGCGATCGCCGCCGGTGTCTGCCCTTCGCCTCCTCGGTCTTCCTTCACCAGACCGCCCGCCTGGGCTTCCCCTGCCTGTCTAGGTCCTGTTTTTCCTCCGCCGTACTCGTCTCCGGCTCGTTTTCCCCCATGGTCTCCTCCTATGTCTCCTCCTTTGTCTCTTGACCCCACGCCTCCGTCCTACTTCTGGTCTCGCCGTCCCTCTCGTGCTCGTCCTGTCTCTCTTGTCCAGCGCTCTCACCCTATGTTGCTTCGTTTGCACGCGTCTTGTCCTCCCCTCCTTCCGTCGCCTCCTCCGTCCTCGTTGGTTGTCGCTCCGCCTCTCCTGTCTGACTTCCTCCGTGCCGCTAGTCCTCTTGTTCACCGGGTCCTTGCCACTCTTATTACCGACCCATCTGTTCCTGTCTCCAATCTTGACGCTTTTGTCGCTGCCGTTACTGACTTTGCCTCTTACCACCGCCTTGACTACGCCACCGCTCTGGTCTCTGACCCTGCCAGTCCTCCGTGCGTCAGGGGTGCCTCTGCCCTTGGCAGTGACGTCCTGGAGGACTGGCAGTGCAAACTTGCTTTCCTGTCCAAGGTCGCGCCTCATCTCTGCTCCATGCGGCTAGTCCCTGAGGGTGACCTAGACGCCTTTGATATCCCGACCCCTCGCACTTACGCTGAGGCGACCTCGGGACCCTGAGCCTCTCAGTGGATAGCTGCCATGGACGCGGAGATGGCATCTTGGAGATCCACCGGCACCTACAACGACGCAGTTCCTCCACCTGGGGTGAACGTAGTCGATGGCCGGTGGCTCTTCAAGGTGAAACGCCCTCCTTGAGAGTCACCGGTGTTCAAGGCGCGCTACGTTGCCAGAGGCTTCGGTCAACGCGAGGGTGTTGACTTCTTCCAGACCTTCGCCCCGACCCCAAAAATGACCACTCTTCGAGCGCTGCTATACGTAGCAGCACATTGTGACTACGAGATGCCCTCTCTCGACTTCTCAACAGCGTTTCTTCAGGGCAATCTTCACGAGCAGGTCTATCTGCATTGCCCGCCAGGCTTCACCAGCACTTTCGCGTTGGGGACTCAGTGGCTTCTCCAGCGCCTTGTTTACGGCCTGCGGCAGGCGCCTCGAGAGTTAGACGACACTCTTCGTGCTACGTTAGCTGACCTAGAGTTCTTCCCGTCCTCTGCAGACCCTTCGCTCTTTGTTCGTTCAGGCCAGACACTTTTCTACATCCTTGTGTACGTAGACGACCTGGTCTTCGCCACTGTAGACAGAGACGCACTGGCCTCTGTGAAGGCCGAGCTGCTAATGATACACACCTGCACTGACCTACGAGAGCTATGCAGATCTCCAGGGACAGAGCAGTGGCACCATCACTCTCACCCAGTCACACTTGGTGCACCAGGTCCTTCAAAGGTTCGGTCTTCAGTTCTCCTCCGCACAACCAACTCCTCTGCCAGTAGATTACTGTCTCTCAACTCCATTCCCTGAGGAGACAGTAGAGCCTAGTGGTCCGTACGTAGAGATGGTGGATTGCCTCATGTACCTGATGACTTACACCCGTCCATATCTTGCATACCCTCTCAGCATCCAGACTCGCTTTGTGGCCACAGGTAGACACCGACCACATCACTGGGCACACAGACGCTGAGACGCTCAGATCCTCCCAGGGCTACGGCTTTAGCCTTGGTGCAGGTGCCATCTCGTGGAGGTCCACTCTCTCGTCGTTTGTTGCCCAGTCTAGCTGTGAGGCTGAGATCTACGCCGGTGCCATGGCAGCACAGGAGCTCCGCTGGCTGACCTTCTTGCTCACAGACTTAGGTGTGCGGCCTAGCTCTGCCCCGGTCCTGTACGCTGACAACAGGGCCATGATCCCATGATCCTCCTGTGTCAGGAGCCTCGACTGGAGGGCAGAGCGAAGCACATTCAGCTGCGGTACTTCCTCCTGCGCGAGCTGATGCAGCGCCGCCAGGCCCGCGTAGTACACTTGGCCTCAGGTGCCAACCTAGCTGATATCTATACGAAGGCGCTTGCGTCCAAAGATCATCAGCGGCATTGTGTCCAGCTTGGTACAGTTCCTTTAGCTTCTCACTTGGTAGGACCTTGATTGTGTAGTATGTCTTATACCTTGACTGGCCTTGTGGCTCCTGCTCCAGTGGCTGGACTAATAGTGCCGCCCTGGATTACTCTTGTTTAGTTTGTACTCTTGCTGACTGGTCTTCAGACCATTGCCTCAAAGGTTGGACTAGTACCACCCTGAGCTGCGTGTCTCGTGCTAGTCGCTGCCTCTTGATAGCCTAGGGGGTGTGTCAACATATATTTTGTATATGTTACAGGCTAGATAGGTGTATGCTCATATAGAGTACAGCACATTAAGATATATTCCCTTGTACCCCATCCTTCTAGTCATTCATTCTGCTTACTTTGAAATTGATCTCCTTTAAAAGGCCTTTTCAACAGATGCCAACATGTTACAGCAATGGGATGAAGCTTCCACAGTGAATTCTGAAAGGCATTGACTCAAACGCCTGTCCATCACCTTCTTCCACCGCCGCCTGCTTTGCCCTTCGATTTCCCCCTCCCCTTGCCACCACTGCCCCCCTTGCCCCCAGCAGCCTTGCCCTTCCTGCCCTTGCCCTTCTTGGCGTTGGCCTTGTCGGCCCGGAGGTCCTTCTTCATGCGCCGGTCCACCATGATGCTGTTCTTCACGCCGCGCCCGCGGTTGCCCTGCTGCCCCTTCTTCGCCACCACCACGATCTTCTTGGGCGCGCGCTCCGCCGCCACCTTGCTGTACGCGCGCGCCATGAGGCGCCCCTTGGACCGCTCGTTCAGGTCCGGCTGCTCCGAGATGGCTGTCGCCTTCTGCCGCGCCGCCTCCACCTGCTTCATCAGCCGCCGCCGCTTGCGCCCCTTCGCCTCCGCCACCTGCCAGGGGAAGGGGAGGGGTGGGAGGGGAGGGGAGGTGGGAAGGGGAGAGGAGACGGAGGGAGGGCAGAGGGGGTTGACTGGCATAGATGCCCACCGCTTGCTTCTCAGGAAAACAACTGCATGCCCTGGCCTCAGACAAAACAAGGGATGTGCGAAATACAGAGAGAGAGAGAGAGAGAGAGAGAGAGAGAGAGAGAGAGAGAGAGAGAGAGAGAGAGAGAGAGAGAGAGAGAGAGAGAGAGAGAGAGAGAGGGAGAGAGAGGGAGAGAGAGAGAGAGGGGGGGAGAGAGAGAGAGAGAGAGAGAGAGAGAGAGAGAGAGAGAGAGAGAGAGAGAGAGAGAGAGAGAGAGAGAGAGCGAGAGCGAGAGAGAGAGAGAGAGAGAGAGAGAGAGAGAGAGAGAGAGAGAGAGAGAGAGAGGGAGAAACAAAGCACATAATGGTGTTGGTTGGCACGAACCTTCTTGGTGGGGCGGGCGTTGATGGCGCGAAACTGCGCCTTCAGCTCGAGCACCTCGTCCTTGGTGATGGGCCGCTGCGGCGCCATGTGCCGCCGCTCGTCATCCGCAAACCACTTGGGCAGCGCGCGCGTGTCGTCGTCAAACATGTAGCGGTTGTACGCGTCGTCGATGAGCGCGTCGCGGTCGCGCTTGCGCAGCATGCGCCTGGCATACGCCAGCGTCTCTGCCTTGCCATCACTGTCCCACTCTTCCTCCTCCCCCTCCTCCATCGCCCCCCCTCCATACCCCCCTGCTGCACCCCCACCCTCCGTGCGCCCCTGCTTCCCCCCCCTGCGTGCGCCATACCCCCCCCCACCGGCATCGCTGTCGCTGTCGCTGTCAGAGCTGCCCCCCTCGCTGGCGCTCAGCCGCTCCTCCGGCACCACCTCAAACCCCGCCGCCTCCTCCTGCACCTGGCCCCCCCTCGCCATCGCCTCTACTTTGTCTCCTTCCCCTTCTCTGTCTCCCTTCCCTGTGGCCGCTTTGCTCTTCCCACCTGCATCCCTACTGGCGTCACTCACGGCCTTACCAGCCTGCACATCAGCTCCTCCGCCCACACCACCCGTACCCTCCTCCTCCTCCTCCACCTCTCCCTCCTCCCCTTCCTCCTCACCTTCCTCCCTCTCCCTCACCCCTCTAATAACCTCTTTCAACCTCGACTCCCCTTGCGGGCCCTTCTTCCCTTTCCTCCCCCCATTTTTCTGCAAAGCACCATCCACTGCACTCCCCACCTCCCCCCTGCCCACCGCCTTCTCCCCTGCCTCCCCCGCTCCCTGCGCCCCGACCTCCAGGTCGAGCCCGTCGAAGAGGTCCTGTGTGAACCACTGCGCCTGCACCCTCTCGCTCGCGCTGCTCTCGCCCAGCCGCACCACCAGCGGGTTCTCCTCCTCCTCCTCCTCGCCCTCCTCCCCTATGTGCACCACCGCCTCCACCTCATCTCCCCCCCCTCCTCTCCCTCCTCCCCCCCTCCCTCCTCCCCCTCGTCGCCCTGCCCCTCCATGGCCATGAGTCGCGCGCGCGCCTTGCGACGCTTGCTGCTGGCGGTGGCCTTGCAGTAGTGCTCGTACGCCGTGTCGAAGTACGCCTCCAGCTCCGCGTCGTACCTGCCGCCACACACACGCGCGGCGGAGAGGTGGCCGGGATGATTGGATGACATGCCGTGCGAGGTGACTTTTGAGTAGACTCAAAAGGTGGCTGGGATGATTGGATGACATGCCGTGCGGCAAGAGGAGTCGAGCTGCCATGAGACGGGCAATGGGGCACACTGTCAAGGGCGGGTGGACATGCGCCTCACATGCCAACAACGCGCCTCACATGCCAACAACGCGCCTCACCTCCTCTTTTCTGCATCGCTGTCCTCGTCACTCCCCTCCTCGTCACTCCCCTCCTCCTCCTCCCCCCCCCTCTCCTCCTCGTCATCGCTCTCCTCCCTCTCCATCTCAGCCATCTCCTCTGCATCTGGTGCCGCCGTGTTGTCCACACCGCTCAGCTGCTTGCGCTGCCACATGGGGCATGGGGCATGCGCGGGAAAGTGGGTGGAGGGGCGTGGAGAGGCACGGGAATGCAAGAGTGGGAAAGGAGGTCAGGAGGAGTGACTGCGCAAGAGAGCTGAGCACGGGGGTGGGAATGAGGGAAGGCAGAGGGAGTCGGGCAGGGTGAGAGGGAGGAATGGGAGAGTGCACACGCAAGAGCCAGGGCGGTGCTACCTTGATGGCGGCCAGCGCAAAGAGCTCGTCGTCGCCGATGATGTCGGTGTCGCCCAGCGCGTCCACCTTCATGCCCGTCGCCGTGCGCACCTTCAGCTGCACCGCTCCACAGGGGAGGTGCAAGGGCGGATGGGGCACCGGGACGGGGGAAGGGTAAACGGGCCAGCTGGGAAAGAGGGTAAACGGGAGTCGAATGCTTGTGCGCATCCGGTTGGGCGTGGGCGGCCAAATTCTATCTCTCGCTCTCCCATCCCCTCCTCCCCCACCCCTTCCACGCCCCCCCACCTTCTCGTCCCTCCCATCACCCCCCCCTCGTCCCTCCCATCACACCCCCCCCCCCACCTTCTCGTCCCTCCCATCACGCCCCCCCCCCACCTTCTCCTTCCGGCGCTTCTCCGCCTTGAGCTTGAGGCGCCGCCTGGCGCCCATCAGCTCCTTGAGCTCCTGCATCTCCTCCAGCACCACCGCCTCCTCCCGCTCCCACACCGCCTCCTCCCCCTCCTCCCCCTCCGCTGCCTCCCCCCGCCCTCCTCCCCCTCCCCCTCCTCCCCCCCCTGCCCGCCGTCCAGCCCCTCGTCAGCTGTCTTCTCCCCTCGCACCAGCTCCGGCAGGTCTTTGCGAATCTTCAGCCGCCACCTGTCACCACACGGTTGGGCGGCGCAGTGCCGGCGGGATGGGAGACGGCAGCGCTGTCAACAGTGAGGTGAGGATGGTGGCTGATGTGAGGCAAGGGCGCATGCATGCAGAAAGAATGATACAAGAATAGCACGAGTCTAACTTGGTTCCTTACGTTTACGCATTTTCTTTCATACATTTACGCGTACGGTTACGTACGTTTACATGCCTCTGGTTTTAGGCCTCCATGTACGGGCAGTCTAAACTTTTTAGGCTGCCCTGAGAAGTTTTCTCCGGGAGGATACAAATCTATCTTGTGTAAAACTTCTTTACAGTACATACAAATATTGTAGTAGCAAGCCAAAATGCCGACAGCTGCAGACGCGACGATAGTCAGAGGGAGGTGTGCGAAAATTAGCATGCGCGAAACCTCGTCGCTGGTGCGCGTGCTCGTCAAATTCGACGCGCCGGCAAACCAACCAGTCATCAAGATGTTCATTTCGCGAACAACCCCCGCCTAACCCACCCAACCTAACCCCCCTCAACGAATGTTCTCCCCTCCTCCACACGCGTAAGTCGCTAACCTACCGACCTACTATCTCTCGGCTAAAGTAGGAACTCAGGACCACGATCCCTCACGTTCTACCAGCGTGACTCATAGACTTGGGACGCACATTGACGAGGGGAATCTTTGCGGATCGGAGGCATTAGTGGTAGTTCTGCGCAGATCTGTTGCGCTGCAACTCTAGATCGCGCTTTCCACGGGAACTCGTGCCACGAGTTGCATAGAGTCACCACCTGAGTCACATGATAAAGCTGCAATAAGTCAGCACGTGCTGCACTCACTTGAGCACGTGCTGCACTCACTTGAGCACGTGCTGCACTCACTTGAGCACGTGCTGCACTCACTTGAGCACGTGCTGCACTCACTTGAGCACGTGCTGCACTCACTTGAGCACGTGCTGCACTCACTTGAGCACGTGCTGCACTCACTTGAGCACGTGCTGCACTCACTTGAGCACGTGCTGCACTCACTTGAGCGCGTGCCACACTCACTTGAGCAGGTGTTTGAAGTCCCTCTTCCCCAGGATGCGCAGGTCCTTGCACAGCTCGTGCACCTGCGCTCATGGCACCACCGTGGGGTGGGGAGCATGGCATGCGGGGTGGGGGGCATGGCATGCGGGGTGGGGGGCATGGCATGCGGGGTGGGGACAGGGGTTGAAGAGCAGTTGAGTCGAGGGTCTTGAGAAAGCTGGCAGGGACGACAGGCGAGTGCTGCGCATGGCTCATGTGCTTTGGCATGGGGCATGGCGTTACATGGCAGAACATCGCAGAACATGGCAGAACATGGCCGAACATGGCTGAACACAACAGAATGCACCATGCAACAGGAGGGGTATGACAAGTGCTCAACGGAATAAAAGAGGATGTACCACTAGGGCCATGACCACAAAAGCGGTTATCACAAGAGCTATGGGCACAAGGGTGCTCACCTCGGGCGTGGTGAGCGGGTGGTCGATGACCGGCTGGGCGAACGGCAAGTCAAAGGTGATCTCGTGGAAGGTTCCGAGAAACGAGACGGCATTGTCGGTGGTGAGGAAGTCCCGCAGCGACGCCCTCTTGTGCACCACGGACTGGCCCTCCTCGTACCTGGTGGTGCCAAGGGGAGGGGAGGGGAAGGGGAGTGCACGGATGCATGGGTGCATGCATGGGAGCATGGATGCGTGCACCAAACACACATGCCCCGATGCGTGCACCAAACACACATGCCCCGATGCGTGCACCAAACACACATGCCCAGATGCGTGCATGCACCTGTGCTTGTGACGCAGGCAGCGCAGCAAAGAGGCAACGAGGGTGGTGGTCATGCACCCTGGAAGACACCGCATCACGAAACGAGTGTCACAATTGCCACACTCACCGCCTCTCCTTCCCACCCTCTCGTCCCTCCGTCCCTCCCCCCATTCACTCTATCCCACGCTCACCCCTCCCCCCTTCCTTCTCTCCCTGGTTTCCCCACGTCTCCACGCATCCCTCCCCTCTCGCCCTCCCCTCTCGCCCTCCCCACTCGCCCTCCCCACTCGCCCTCCCCACTCGCCCTCCCCACTCGCCCTCCCCACTCGTCCTCCCCACTCACTTCCCACCGCCCTCCCCTGCCGACTCACCCCTCTCTGTTGCGCTTCTTCTTCGGCTCCGCCAACACGTCCACTGCCTGCCGCCCACCACCATGCCGAGCCATCACATCCATGCCATCACATCCATGCCATCACCATGTCATAACCATGACCATGACCATGACCATGCCATGCCATGCCATGCCATGCCATGACCATGCCACAGCCCAACAACCGGACCGAAGCAGCAGTGGGAAAGAAAGTCGTCAGAAGGCGTGAGGAAAGAGATCAGAGCGAGCGTAACAGGTTCTCCAACTTCCTTCGCACTCAATGGGCTGACCCCCGTCTCGACCTTCACCTGCTCGCCCCCTCCCCCCACCTTGGGTTGTTCGGGCACGGCTTCAAAGAGGTGTCGGGCGTCCAGCAGGCGCGGGTCGATCTTGCCGGGCGCCTTGAAGCCGTGGCACACCACGTAGATCTCCGCCGACGTCGCCCGCGACGCCACCGGTTTCGTCGCCTCCACACGGCTGAACAGCTGGGGGGGGGGGGGGGAGGAAAGAGGGGGGGGGTGGGGTGGGGGGGGGGGGGGGGGGGGTTCACGAGGTGGGGTTGACGTGGGCGCCAGGCCATGGATAGGAGGGGGATCGGGGGAAGTCTGGGGAGTGTATGGGTGCATGATAGAAGCTTCATTCTTCTGTGTGTGTGTGTGTTTTTTTTGTTTTTTGTTTTTTTTTTTTATGCAATAACACTTTAGTGGTACGTGCCAAACATCCACAATCGTAACTGGCTTGCGAGAAGCTGGTTCGGGGCCGCAAATGCAAGTTTGGGGGCTATAAGGAAGACGTGGCAGCGTGCGCGCAGAGCAAAAGAGAAGTTGACGGTAAAGACGAGGAAGAGGAGTTGGTTGAACGGTAGGTGCGGCTGACCTGCTTGAAGGCGAAGAGCAGCGCTGACCTGCTTGAAGGCGAAGAGCAGCGCTGACCTGCTTCAAGGCGAAGAGCAGCGCTGACCTGCTTGAAGGCGAAGAGCAGCGCTGACCTGCTTGAAGGCGAAGAGCAGCGCTGACCTGCTTGAAGGCGAAGAGCAGCGCTGACCTGCTTGAAGACGAAGAGCAGCGCTGACCTGCTTGAAGGCGAAGAGCAGCGCTGACCTGCTTCAAGGCGAAGAGCAGCGCTGACCTGCCTCAAGGCGAAGAGCAGCGCTGACCTGCTTCAAGGCGAAGAGCAGCGCTGACCTGCTTCAAGGCGAAGAGCAGCGCTGACCTGCTTCAAGGCGAAGAGCAGCGCTGACCTGCTTTAAGGCGAAGAGCAGCGCGTTGTAGTCCTGCGAGCGGAACACCTGCACTCGCCGGGGGAGGGGGGCGGGGGGGGGGCACGAGAGGGTGGCGGCACGGGGTTGGACAGCGCACAGTTGAAAGACGAACGAACGATCTGGTGAGGGCCAGCAAGGGCCAGCAAGGGCACGAGCAGCGCATTCTTCAAAGCGCCTCACGATCAGCCTGCTGGCCCCTAAGCCCCACCGTACCTCGCAGATGAACATGCCGCCCACCTTGGAGATGAACATGTCGCCCACCTTGGAGATGAACATGCCGCCCACCTTGGAGATGAACATGCCGCCCGGCTTGAGGAACTCGACGGCGAGCCGGAGCGCCTGCAGCGAGAGCGCGGCCTGCCCGAGCGCCTCCTTCAGCCACGCGCCGCCCACGTTGGGCGACCCGTCGTGCAGCACCACGTCCAGCAGCGCGCCCTAAGGGGTGGGGGGGGCGAGGGGATACACGAGCGGCGGGTTGCGTGGGAAGAACGTGGCAGGGCGGGTGTGGTGAGAGCGATACTTTGCAGGGGGGCGGGGTGCATGGGTGTGAGAGGGAGGAAAAGGGCAGTGATCACGCAGCACGCAGCATGCTGTCGGCAGCACGCAAGCACGGGGTGCCCCTGGCATGCCACTGACCTTGAGGACCTTTTTGAGGTCGGCGCGACACTTGGGCGTGGTGATGTCGTGCGTGAGCGTGGTGCAGCCGCGCACGGGGCGGATGGGCACCAGGTCCACGCCCACGATCACCGACGCCACCGGCATGTACTTCGCCGCCACCTGGGGGCGCGTGCGGAGGGGGGGGGTGAAGGGGGGAGGGGGGAAGAAGGGGGGGAGGGGGGAAGAAGGGGGGAGGGGGGAAGAAGGGGGGAGGGGGGAAGAAGGGGGGGAGAGGAATGCAAAGAGGAAGAGGGATGGGCGCAGATTATGGGAGCAGGAAGCGAGTAGAGGGGAGAAAGAGGGGGGGGGAGGGGTTGGGGGGGGGGGGGGTGGGCCTGGGCCCCGGGGGAGAGGCAGCGGGCATTGCCAACACTGCGACGCCAGAGCTTCGGTGCACCGCTGCTGTGCCCTCTCCCTCCCCGCGTGCCCTCTCCCTCCCCGCGTGCCCTCTCCCTTTCCGCGTGCCCTCTCCCTTCCCGCGTGCCGTCGCCGCTTCTGGATGCTCAACGGCCTCTGCGGCGCCACCTAAGCCCTCGCGGCCATCGCTAAGCCCTGCTGTCGCCGGCATCGTCAAACCTAGCTGTCGCAGCCATCGCTAAACCTAGCTGTCGCAGCCTTCGTTAAACTCTGCTGTCGGCTGCCGCGGACAGCTCCGCGCGGCGCCGTGCTCACTGCAAGCCCCTTCGAAACCCTGAACCCGCGCGCCGCACAGCGCCTCGCAACGACCGTGGGGGGTGCAACCCCGGTCCGGCCCACAAGTGTAAGGTGCTTCCGCGCGTGGATGCGTCAGAGGTATGGGGTTTCGGGTTTTAGGTTTCGGGTTTCGGGTTTCGGGTTCCCAGAGGGCACTCGCGAAAGCGTGGGAGCGGTAGACGAAAATCACCCCACGGGCCAAGGCACGGAAGTTCGGCCGCCGCCCTCCATTGCTCGCCCAAGCTGCCCCCCCCGCCGCTGGTGTCACCTGCACCCCTCGCCGCTGGTGTCACCTGCACCCCTCGCCGCTGGTGTCACCTGCACCCCTCGCCGCTGGTGTCACCTGCACCCCTCGCCGCGCGGCCTCACCTGCAGCCACGGCCTCACCTGGAGCCATCCACCCGGCGCGGCGCAGAGGTCGAGCAGCGAGCGCGAGTTCTCGAGGAACTGGTACTTGCGGTTGAGCTGCACCAGCTTGAACGCCGCGCGCGACCGGTACCCCTGCTCCTTCGCCAAATAGTAAAACTTGTCCAGACGGCCCTTGCCCGCCGTCTTCGACTTGCCCATGGCTGCTCGGCGCGCCGCACGGCAGCACGGCAGGAGGTTGTTGAGACGCGAGGGTGGCGGGAGAAAGGTGAGGAGGTTGGAAATGGGGAGGGAGAAGAGAGGCTTTTGCAGGGCACGAGAAGCTGGTGTATCCGCGGTTTTGATTGAACCCCCAAGTCCGCTCGAACAAAGAGCGCTCGACAGATGGTACGTTACAGTGTGGTGCAAAATGGTTCGAACGAATCTAGCAAATATCGAAACGAGTACAAGTGAAGATCACATCAATTAATATGGAACGCCTTCCACAACAGCTCATGCCAGCTAAAAAGGAAAGATACCCCTTGATTAGAGTACCTATAGAAGATTAGGTACCGACCGCTGCATTGCCTCGTACGCCTTATTGTTAAAGCCCCAGGCTAGAATAGCAAAGGTCGGCCCAACTTGAACCTTGGCCTTCTAGAATCCGTCTAAGTATAAAATGACTGACTATAATCACTGTTGTGAATTTCGGATGGAAAGGAATCTGAAATGTGTTGCTCGATTTTGATTGGCTGACGCAACAATCAGCTTGGCGAATTGTACAGTGCGACACTTGAGCGACTCGCGTGTCAGAAGGGATCGCATGTGCGATCGTTTTCCCTGGAACCCAACTCGATTTTCAAGTTGGGACCAGGTTTGCTTCTCGGGTGTCACAGGGGGGTTCAGAAACAGTGTGACACCTCGCAAGCTGTACGACGAGCGAGATCGTCGAAACACTCGCAAGTGAACAGCGGTTCCGCTCCGAATTGGAAACCTATCATGCACTAACTGCTTCCGAATCTATTTCGAACACAGCCGGCTGCCCAAAAAGAAAAACCCCAGCTCTACTTCAAACCAAGCCCCCTTCCTTGTTCAAGCTGGGTCCATTGCCACAGTACGAACCAGGAGCGGCCATGGACCAATGACCACCCAGATGGTGCTTGTGCGTCCAGCAGCGCCCAGCAGCAGGTGGAGCCCTCTGCCATGCCGCCCATGGTGGCGGTGCCATGGCCACTACAGCTGCGCTCTGCACCACACTCCTGGGGGCCCAGTGGCGACCAGCACACGGATGCTCCTGCTCGCCCCCTGCAAGGCACTGGGAGCAAAAACAAGACGCAGAGGGAGAAACCAAGGCAGGAGTGAGGAGCAATGGGACAGAAGAAGTGGCCTTATTGAGTGCAGTCACAACAACATACGCCAGCACCATCTGCTAAGGCAGAAGAGGGAGTGAAGCGAAAGAATGTGCCACCCACAGGCGTAAATTCCTCCCACCCCCTAAACACCCCCATGTGCCCTCTCCCCCTCAAACCACACACCCTCGCAGCGACTCGCACCTGCTGCAGGCATCATGTCACGACGGCACGGGGCGCGCGGCGGGCGAGCCGTGGAAGCTGCTGCCGGCGGACCCGCCCTCCTCGCTGCCCTCCGACACTATCGTCGCCACCGACGGGTGCCGCGATGCTCCCCCCACCCGCACTCGCCCTGCCATCGCCCCCCCCCCTCCCCCTGCGCCCTGCCACCCCGCAGCAGCAGATGCCCCCGCCCCTCCACCTTCCCCCCCCCTTGCCGCGCCTGCCACTGCTGCCTCCACCTGCTGCTGCTGCTGCTGCTGCTGCTGCTGCTGGGGAGGGGAGGAAGGGCCAGCAGATGATGCAGTGCCCGCAGCAGACGCGGCAGCACTGCCCACCTCCCTGCTCTCCACGTGTCCCTTCCCTGCCGTCCCACCACCACCTGCTGAGGCAGGTGCAGCGGCAGCAGTTGGGGTGGGCGGGATGTCGAGGGGCGGCGGGGGGAGGGCGTGGAGGGGCATGTTGTGAGGAGGGGAGAGAGGAGTGAAGGAGGAGTAGTAGGGGTGCGAGGGGCCAATGGGGCCAGACTTGTGCAGCCGCACTGCACTCATGCCCCCCCCTGCGCCACGCCCCCCTGCTGCTGCTGCTGCTGCTGCACTGGCAGGCCCTCCACCCACGCTCCCTCCCGCCCCTCCACCCATGCCTGCTCGCCCGGCTCCAGCACCCGCACCAGCAGCGGTGGCAGCAGCAGCAGCAGCAGCGGCGGCAGCCCCTGCGTCGGGCAGCAGCCCGTAGGCGGCGCCGAACAGCGAGCCGCGCGTGATGGGGCCACTCACAGCGCGGCTCGCAGCGCCCAGGGGGCGATGGGAAGGGTGGGTGGAGGGGGCGAGGTGGGATGCTGCTGCTGCTGCTGCTGCCGGTGGCATGGAGGGGCGTGGAGAGACAAGCGCATGCACGCTGGTGCTAGGAAGCTTCAGGGAGGGGCTCTGTGGCGCGCGCAGGGTGGGCGGCACAGCAGACGGGGTTCTGGCGGGCGCTGCTGGAGCTGGCAGGGATAATGACGAGGGGGCTGCAGCAGCAGATGGCGCAGCAGGCAGGGCGGTGGGGGTGGAGACGGCAGCGAGGGCGGCCATGGGTGTGGGCGAGAGGGAGGGCGCACCGTAGGGGTAGGTGCCTCGCAGGATGGGACCCGACATGCTCACACGCGCCCGTGGTGCACTGCTGCCACCACCGCCACCACCACCGCCACCACCTCCTACTCCCCTTCCTCTACCTGCTGCTGCTCCCGCGGCTGCTGCGCCCTGCCCTCCCCCTGCCCCTGCACCTGCCGCACTGCCTGTAGCCACGGCACCCACACCCGCTGCACCCGAGACAGGGGAGAGGGCGGGGAGAGCAGGCTTTGAGCCTGCTGGGATGGGGTTGGGAGCGGCAGCAGTGGCAGCGGCGGCGGGTGGAGCCGTGGTACTGGCGGTGACCGCAGTCCCGGCACCTGCGGGTGGGCCGGGCATGGCAGCAGCGCCTGACGGCGCCTGCAGGGACTCGGGGCGGGGGAGCGGCCCGGACATGCGCGGCGCAAAGGGCTCCATGTGGGCCACCCTGCCCCGCAGCACCGTGCCTGCTACAGGCGCCCTGCCCCCTGCTGCCCCTGCTGCCCCTGTGCCACCTACTGCCCCCATCCCCCCAGCTGCTGCTGCTGCCACGAGCGGCCCTCCCAGTGCAGCAGGCGTGGTGCCGAGGGCGGAGAGGTACGCGGCGGCGGAGATGGGGCCCGACTTGGACGCGCCCAGGGAGGGCCGTGCCGCAGCAGCGGGCACGCTGCGATGGCGGACGTGCGGCGGCGCTGCTGCTGCTGTGGCTGCTCCTGCTGCTGTGGCTGCTCCTGCTGCTGTGGGCAAGTCTTGCTGCGCTTGTGGCGGGTCCAGGAACCCCCCTGCCGGGATGCTTGCTCTCTCATCCGCCGTGCGAGGCATGCTCCGTGCATCGCGCCCCACTGCAGGGCCCCACCCAGGTGCGCCCGACCCAGATGCATCGCCCCTGGTTGCAGCGGGTGTGGCAGAGGACGGCCCAGCTGCGGTGGGCGGGAGGGCGGGCGCTAAGGCATGGGCGCGCGCAGCAGGGGGGGGGGCATCTGACGGGGCAGCAGCAGACGCAGCAGCGGGGCCAGACGCAGGAGGGGTGGCGGCAGTGGGCATTGAGGGCTGCTGGTGCAGGGGGTGGGCGGACGCGGAGGGGCCCTGAGATGCTGGTAGCTGCCAAGGGGAACGGGAGGAAGAGCGGGCGAAAAGGAAGGCGGAAGGGAGGAAGAGAGAGGGAGAAAATGGAGAGTGGGTGAATGAAGCAGGTGTCGTGAGGGAAAGCAGGTGTCGTGAGGGAAAGCATGTGTCGTGAGGGAAAGCAGGTGTCGTGAGGGAAAGCAGGTGTCGTGAGGGAAAGCAGGTGTCGTGAGGGAAAGCAGGTGGCGTGAGGAAAAGCAGGTGTCGTGAGGGAAAGCAGGTGGCGTGAGGGAAAGCAGGTGTCGTGAGGGAAAGCAGGTGTCGTGAGGGAAAGCAGGTGTCGTGAGGAAAAGCAGGTGTCGTGAGGGAAAGCAGGTGGCGCCCAGCAGCAAGGACGCGGGTGGAAGGTGAAACACAAGGCCTGCCCAACGGCGGACCACGGCACATTGCTCGCCAACTCACAGCTGCTGCTGCAGCTTGCTCCCCATACAACGAGATCTGCCTCACGCCCACCCCACTGCCCACCCCCCCCTGCTCCCCCTCCTCGTCCCCCTCGTCCATGTCGCCGTCCGCCACGGGCGCCAGCAGCGGCGTGTGTGAGAGGCCCAGGTGGTCCAGTGCGTGCAGCATGGCCGGCTGGACGCGCTGCAGCGCACGGGCGCTACCCCGCACCAGACGCACCTGGGGGAGAAGGGGGGAGGTGTGGAGCAGCGAGGGGGAGCAGGGGAGAGTGAGGAGAGGCAGGAAGAGGGGGGTGAGGGAGGGGGGGGGGGGAGCAAGAAGGAGGCTGTGTTTCGGCCTGAGCAAAGGAAGCCGGAGCAGAGGTGGCAGGTGTGGCGTGGTGGCAGGTGGCGCAGCACACAGCAACGCTTATTGTGTGGTGGCAGGTGGCACAGCACACAGCAACGCTTATTGCGTGGTGACAGGTGGCACAGCACACAGCAACGCTTATTGCGTGGTGGCAGGTGGCGCAGCACACAGCAACGCTTATTGCGTGGTGGCAGGTGGCACAGCACACAGCAACGCTTATTGCGTGCTGGCAGGTGGCACAGCACACAGCAACGCTTATTGCACGGTGGCAGGTGGCGCAGCACACAGCAACGCTTATTGCGTGCTGGCAGGTGGCGCAGCACACAGCAACGCTTATTGCGTGGTGGCAGGTGGCACAGCACACAGCAACGCTTATTGCGCGGTGGCAGGTGGCACAGCACACAGCAACGCTTATTGCGCGGTGGCAGGTGGCACAGCACACAGCAACGCTTATTGGGCGATGGCAAGTGGCACAGCACACAGCAACGCTTATTGCGTGGTGGCAGGTGGCACTGCACACAGCAAAGCTTATTGCGTGCTGGCCGGTGGCACAGCACACAGCAACGCTTATTGCGTGGTGGCAGGTGGCACAGCACACAGCAACGCTTATTGCGTGCTGGCAGGTGGCGCAGCACACAGCAACGCTTATTGCGTGCTGGCAGGTGGCGCAGCACACATCAATGCTAATAGGGCGGTGGCAAGTGGCACAGCACACAGCAACGCTTATTGCGCGGTGGCAGGTGGCACAGCACACAGCAACGCTTATTGCGTGCTGGCAGGTGGCGCAGCACACAGCAATGCTAATAGGGCGGTGGCAAGTGGCACAGCACACAGCAACGCTTATTGCGTGCTGGCAGGTGGCACAGCACACAGCACGCAGCAATGCTTATTGCGTGCTCGCCCAGGAGCTCGCTGCCCCACCCCACCTTGGCGGCGTGGTGTTTGAGCGCAAGCGTGAGCAGCAGGCGCGGCTGCCGCTGCTGCAGGGCGAGGAGGCGGCAGCCCAGCGTCATGGCCACCTCGTCAAACTCCTCCCGCGCCACCGCCTCCTCCGCCTCCCGCCCCGCCTCCCCCCCACCCTCTGCCGCTCCTCCCACGCCCATGGTGGCAGCGGCCTCCCTGCGCCGCGCCTTGGCCGCCACGGCTGCCGCTGCATGCGCCCTCCTGCACCCACGCGCGCAGTGGGCGGGTAGTGGGGGGAAGCACGGGGGAGAGGTGGGTGGGAAACATGGGGCAAGGAGAGGGGGGGTGGGAAACAAGGTGCAAGGAGAGGGGGGGTGAGAAACACGGGGCAAGGAGAGGGGGCAATGGAGGGAGAGAGAATGGCCGTTGTGGTGCACGAGGCATGCATGAGGTGCACGAGGCATGCATGAGGTGCACGAGGCATGCATGAGGTGCACGAGGCATGCATGTGGTGCACGAGGCATGCATGAGGTGCACGAGGCATGCATGTGGTGCACGAGGCATGCATGAGGTGCACGAGGCATGCATGTGGTGCACGAGGCATGCATGTGGTGCACGAGGCATGCATGAGGTGCACGAGGCATGCATGTGGTGCACGAGGCATGCATGAGGTGCACGAGGCATGCATGTGGTGCACGAGGCATGCATGAGGTGCACGAGGCATGCATGAGGTGCACGAGGCATGCATGTGGTGCACGAGGCATGCATGAGGTGCACGAGGCATGCATGTGGTGCACGAGGCATGCATGAGGTGCACGAGGCATGCATGTGGTGCACGAGGCATGCATGAGGTGCACGAGGCATGCATGTGGTGCACGAGGCATGCATGAGGTGCACGAGGCATGCATGAGGTGCACGAGGCATGCATGTGGTGCACGAGGCATGCATGAGGTGCACGAGGCATGCATGTGGTGCACGAGGCATGCATGAGGTGCACGAGGCATGCATGTGGTGCACGAGGCATGCATGAGGTGCACGAGGCATGCATGAGGTGCACGAGGCATGCATGAGGTGCACGAGGCATGCATGTGGTGCACGAGGCATGCATGAGGTGCACGAGGCATGCATGTGGTGCACGAGGCATGCATGAGGTGCACGAGGCATGCATGTGGTGCACGAGGCATGCATGAGGTGCACGAGGCATGCATGAGGTGCACGAGGCATGCATGTGGTGCACGAGGCATGCATGAGGTGCACGAGGCATGCATGTGGTGCACGAGGCATGCATGAGGTGCACGAGGCATGCATGTGGTGCACGAGGCATGCATGAGGTGCACGAGGCATGCATGAGGTGCACGAGGCATGCATGAGGTGCACGAGGCATGCATGTGGTGCACGAGGCATGCATGAGGTGCACGAGGCATGCATGTGGTGCACGAGGCATGCATGAGGTGCACGAGGCATGCATGTGGTGCACGAGGCATGCATGAGGTGCACGAGGCATGCATGAGGTGCACGAGGCATGCATGTGGTGCACGAGGCATGCATGAGGTGCACGAGGCATGCATGTGGTGCACGAGGCATGCATGAGGTGCACGAGGCATGCATGTGGTGCACGAGGCATGCATGAGGTGCACGAGGCATGCATGAGGTGCACGAGGCATGCATGTGGTGCACGAGGCATGCATGAGGTGCACGAGGCATGCATGTGGTGCACGAGGCATGCATGAGGTGCACGAGGCATGCATGTGGTGCACGAGGCATGCATGAGGTGCACGAGGCATGCATGAGGTGCACGAGGCATGCATGAGGTGCACGAGGCATGCATGTGGTGCACGAGGCATGCATGAGGTGCACGAGGCATGCATGTGGTGCACGAGGCATGCATGAGGTGCACGAGGCATGCATGTGGTGCACGAGGCATGCATGAGGTGCACGAGGCATGCATGAGGTGCACGAGGCATGCATGAGGTGCACGAGGCATGCATGTGGTGCACGAGGCATGCATGAGGTGCACGAGGCATGCATGTGGTGCACGAGGCATGCATGAGGTGCACGAGGCATGCATGTGGTGCACGAGGCATGCATGAGGTGCACGAGGCATGCATGAGGTGCACGAGGCATGCATGAGGTGCACGAGGCATGCATGTGGTGCACGAGGCATGCATGTGGTGCACGAGGCATGCATGAGGTGCACGAGGCATGCATGTGGTGCACGAGGCATGCATGAGGTGCACGAGGCATGCATGTGGTGCACGAGGCATGCATGTGGTGCACGAGGCATGCATGTGGTGCATGAGGCATGCATGAGGCATGAGGCGATGTTGAAAGGGGCGCACATGAGGGGAGGGGCGCACGGAGGGAGGGGCGCACGGAGGGAGGGGCGCATGAGGCGCTAGAGAGTAGGCCAGCCTTCACTCAGGCGTTCACTAGCTGCTGCCACGGTGGTTTTGTCCTCTCACAACTCTGAACTTTCGCCCCCCTTGCATGCTTGTGCACCGCCTCACAGCACGGCATGTGCTGTGCAGTGGCAGGGGGAGCAACACGACTGGCAAGTGAAACGCACTCACCGCTTCTGCTCGTAGAGCTCCTTGGTTTCCTGGTGGGCGCAGGTGACAAGCAGGTGGGCGCAGGTGACAAGCGTTGTTAGCCATGATAGAAGGGAGCAGCAGTGTAATCGAGACTTTTAGCAAAAAGATTGACAGTGAAATACACAAGTTGCTAGTGTAATAGCCGAGATCTCAGAAAACTGAACTCAGTTCCGATTCAAAAGATTAAAGCAAACATGTTTCGACGTCTAAGGTAAGGACCCTAGAACATCTTCATCAGTGCAGAATGGAAGCAGGTGGCAAGCAGGTGGCAAGCAGGTGGCAAGCAGGTGGCAAGCAGGCAGAGGGGGGGAGAGGTGGAGACGATGAGGCATGCTGAGCGGGGGGGGTAAATCAATGGCATGCTGCATCTCACCACCACGTGCTGCATCTCACCACCACGTGCTGCATCTCACCACCACGTGCTGCATCTCACCACCACGTGCTGCATCTCACCACCACGTGCTGCATCTCACCACCACGTGCTGCATCTCACCACCACGTGCTGCATCTCACCACCACGTGCTGCATCTCACCACCACGTGCTGCATCTCACCACCACGTGCTGCATCTCACCACCACGTGCTGCATCTCACCACCACGTGCTGCATCTCACCACCACGTGCTGCATCTCACCACCACGTGCTGCATCTCACCACCACGTGCTGCATCTCACCACCACGTGCTGCATCTCACCACCACGTGCTGCATCTCACCACCACGTGCTGCATCTCACCACCACGTGCTGCATCTCACCACCACGTGCTGCATCTCACCACCACGTGCTGCATCTCACCACCACGTGCTGCATCTCACCACCACGTGCTGCATCTCACCACCACGTGCTGCATCTCACCACCACGTGCTGCATCTCACCACCACGTGCTGCATCTCACCACCACGTGCTGCATCTCACCACCACGTGCTGCATCTCCCCCAGCATCGCCTCTGCCGGGTGTGCCAGCGTCTGCTGCAGGTGCGTGCTCTGAGAGACCCCGGCGCCCAGGGGGGGGCCAGGGGGGAGACGCGGGGATGGCGGATGCACGGAGGAAGGTAAAATCAGCGAGAGGGGAGAGGGGAGAGGGGAGAGGGAGAGGGGAGAGGGGAGAGGGGAGAGGGGAGTGGGGAGTGGGGAGAGGGGAGAGGGGAGAGGGGAGAGGGGAGAGGGGAGAGGGGAGAGGGGAGTGGGGAGAGGGGAGAGGGGAGAGGGGAGAGGGGAGAGGGGAGAGGGGAGAGGGGAGTGGGGAGAGGGGAGAGGGGAGTGGGGAGTGGGGAGAGGGGAGAGGGGAGAGGGGAGAGGGGAGTGGGGAGAGGGGAGAGGGGAGTGGGGAGTGGGGAGAGGGGAGAGGGGAGAGGGGAGAGGGGAGAGGGGAGAGGGGAGAGGGGAGTGGGGAGAGGGGAGAGGGGAGAGGGGAGTGGGGAGTGGGGAGAGGGGAGAGGGGAGAGGGGAGAGGGGAGAGGGGAGAGGGGAGAGGGGAGTGGGGAGAGGGGAGAGGGGAGAGGGGAGAGGGGAGAGGGGAGAGGGGAGAGGGGAGAGGGGAGTGGGGAGAGGGGAGAGGGGAGTGGGGAGTGGGGAGAGGGGAGAGGGGAGAGGGGAGAGGGGAGAGGGGAGAGGGGAGAGGGGAGAGGGGAGAGGGGAGAGGGGAGAGGGGAGAGGGGAGAGGGGAGTGGGGAGAGGGGAGAGGGGAGTGGGGAGTGGGGAGAGGGGAGAGGGGAGAGGGGAGAGGGGAGAGGGGAGAGGGGAGAGGGGAGAGGGGAGAGGGGAGAGGGGAGAGGGGAGAGGGGAGAGGGGAGAGGGGAGAGGGGAGAGGGGAGAGGGGAGAGGGGAGTGGGGAGAGGGGAGAGGGGAGAGGGGAGAGGGGAGAGGGGAGAGGGGAGAGGGGAGAGGGGAGAGGGGAGAGGGGAGTGGGGCATGACGTGGCCATGCGATGGAAGGGCCAGGGAGGACAAAGGGGGCAGCTTACATAGGAGAAGAGCAGGTCACATAGAAGAAGAGCAGCTCACATAGAAGAAGAGCAGCTCCGCCATGCGCCCATCAGCTGCCGCCGCCTGCACCAGCGTGTCGCCCACGCCGCCCTCCTCCACGCCGCCAAACGCCTCCCCCACATACGCCGCTAGCTGGTGCAGCGCCTCCGCACACTCTGCGGCGAGATGGCAGGGGGGGGGAGGAGGGGACGCGGGGGGGTCGATGGGCCGGGCGGAGGAAGAGATAGGCAAGAATGGCATGGCGAGGCACAGACTTAATGGACCCAACCATGCACCCATGCACCCATGCACCCATGCATCCATGCACCCATGCATCCATGCACCCATGCACCCATGCACACATGCATCCATGCACCCATGCACCCATGCACCCATGCACCCATGCATCCATGCACCCATGCACCCATGCACCCATGCACCTAGACATGGTCAAAATGCGATGCGATGCGATATCGCATCGCATTTTGACTTATCGCGCATTATATCGCGGCGATGCGATATCGCATCGCCGCGATATATTTTTGAAAAAACCCAAAATCGCATATCGCGTTTTAGGTGCGATATTTTTAAATATCGCACTGTAGAGTGCGATATATCGCGCGATGCGATAAAATATCGCATCGCCAGGGCTAAATTTTAGGGTTAAGTAAACTACAGCAGCAATTTGGATAGTTAGAGAACTGGGAACTGCCGAAGGGTTTCAAACAAGGGCACAACACACCATTACAACGTCGGTTCTAATAAAAAAACAGCAAAAATAAAAGAATGGCGAGCTCCAAATATCGCGGGCGATTTTTTTAATATCGCGAGTCGCATTTTATCGCGCCAAAAAAATTGCGATATAAACGCAATATCGCAAAAATCGCGCGACATGATCGCATCGCATCGCCGCGATATTTGTAATTAAAAAAAACAAAAAAACAAAAAAAGGCCATCGCAAAATGCGATATAACGCAATGCGATGCGATATGACCATGTCTACATGCACCCATGCACCCATGCACCCATGCACCCATGCACCCATGCACCCATGCACCCATGCACCCGTGCACCCGTGCACCCGTGCACCCATGCACCCATGCACCCATGCACCCATGCACCCATGCACCCATGCACCCATGCTGCCATGCATCCATGCACCCATGCACCCATGCACCCATGCACCCATGCACCCATGCATCCATGCATCCATGCACCCATGCACCCATGTATCCATGCACCCATGCATCCATGCACCCATGCAACCCACCCAGACACGTGCAGCCATATGCAAGCATCCCTCTCCGCCCAACCCTCCCTCACCTGATGAACCTCTTTTCCCTCTCGTCTGGCCCATCCCCTCCTACCCACTTCTTCTTAGCCACCTGCGCTTCCTCTCGTTCTCTTCCGGACTGCTGCACCACGCAGCCACATTCACAGGCAATCTTATTTCGAGATGTCTCAAAACGAAATTATTGTCACACATCTTCTGGACTGTCACACATTCGCGGGCAATCAATCACTCCTGCGCTGCCCTCACCTGCGGCTCTCTCCTGCGCTGCCCTCACCTGCGGCTCTCTCCTGCGCTGCCCTCACCTGCGGCTCTCTCCTGCGCTGCCCTCACCTGCGGCTCTCTCCTGCGCTGCCCTCACCTGCGGCTCTCTCCTGCGCTGCCCTCACCTGCGGCTCTCTCCTGCGCTGCCCTCACCTGCGGCTCTCTCCTGCGCTGCCCTCACCTGCGGCTCTCTCCTGCGCTGCCCTCACCTGCGGCTCTCTCCTGCGCTGCCCTCACCTGCGGCTCTCTCCTGCGCTGCCCTCACCTGCGGCTCTCTCCTGCGCTGCCCTCACCTGCGGCTCTCTCCTGCGCTGCCCTCACCTGCGGCTCTCTCCTGCGCTGCCCTCACCTGCGGCTCTCTCCTGCGCTGCCCTCACCTGCGGCTCTCTCCTGCGCTGCCCTCACCTGCGGCTCTCTCCTGCGCTGCCCTCACCTGCGGCTCTCTCCTGCGCTGCCCTCACCTGCGGCTCTCTCCTGCGCTGCCCTCACCTGCGGCTCTCTCCTGCGCTGCCGCCACGGCTGCCACGAGCCCCTCGTACCGCTCGCGCATCTCCCCCACGTCCTGCCACGAGCACATGGCGCACCGCACACGGGGCACGGGCATGGGGCACGGGGCATGGGGCACGGGCATGGGGCACGGGCATGGGGCACGGGCATGGGGCACGGGCATGGGGCACGGGCATGGGGCACCGGGCATGGGGCACGGGGCATGGGCATTGGGCGCGTGGGGCATGGGGAATTGGGCACGGGCACGAGTGCATGGGCGATGGTTGCTCAGGGGAAGGGGCACAAGTGAGAGGATGATAAGGGAGAGAGGGAAGAGGGATAAGAGAATGAGAGGAGAGGGGGACAAGGGCGGGCATGGAGCATGGAGCATGGAGCATGGAGCATGGAGCATGGAGCATGGAGCATGGAGCGGGGATGGAATCACACGGCACGGGGGACACAAGGCGCTGCGTGCGCTGCCGCAACGACGCCCACCTGCATGCCCTGTTGGAATTCGTCCTCGATAGAGTCACTCTGCGTTACGGCCATGGGCATCGTCAGCTCCATGGCGCTGCGGCTGCGGGGTCTCCCTGGTCTCCCCGGTCCGCTCGCCGCCTGCTGCTCGTGCTGCGCGCCCGCCACGCCCGGGGCCCTCTCCGCCGCGCGCGCATCGCCCACGCGGCCCTTCCCTGCCAGCGCGGCCAGCCGCTTCCACTGCTTCATGGCGCCGCCGCCGCGGAGCTGGCACGGCAGAGCGAGGGCGTAAGGCGCGCGGTGGCGGGCTGTGATGAGTGCGCGGGGCTACGCTACCGCCGACTGCACTCTGCTCGCGCCATCGCAATCTCACTTTCGCGCCGCGCACTGGCGCATCTCGATCATTCCACGCCGCGCACTGGCGCGAAGCGCAGGGTGGCACGGGAAGCCTATGCGCGCACGGGAAGCCCTAGGCGCGCACGGGAAGCCCTAGGCGCGCACGGGAAGCCCTAGGCGCGCACGGGGAGCCCTAGGCGCGCAGGGGGAGCCCTAGGCGCGCAGGGGGAGCCCTAGGCGCGCAGGTCGTCTGACAGGCGCCTCGCAGCACACGCCGCCATCACCCCGTGAACGCCACTGGCGCCCGCCCCGCCGGCGATAACGCGCGACCCATGTTGAATCGATTCTTGAGGCGCGCCAAACGACAAAGACCTGCGAGCTACGCGAGTGCCGGGAGAGGTGGCGAGTAGCGAAGGATCTGCGGGTCAGGGCAGAGCTATGCAACTACCATTACTCGTAGCAGAAGCTAGACACGCTGCTTCAGTGCGAGCTCGCTTGCTGCCCTGTCAATTACAGTAGAAAACACAATGGGGTCGGACCGTCATGAAGGCCAACAGAACGAAGTGAAACAGACAGCTAGCAGTCGAAACAGACGATTGGCAGTCGGAATACTGTGCGACAGCCGATTGACTTGTTTCTCTCCTCGCTGCTCGTCCCAAGTACGACTTGCTCCACGCCATGCTGCCCCAGCTGTCTCGTGGCTAACCGGTCAGCGACTCTGGCATTCCAGCTCAGCGCACCGAACTCGAAATGACGAAAACTCCGCATAGTGGCGCAGAACCACACGAGTTGACCGATGAAGCCGAGTCAACATCCACACTGTGCAACATATTTCGTTTAAGGCTCTTATAGTGCAATTTACTCAAATGTCCCAGTTATTATCAGATCGATGCACAAATGGTTCATGCTATGCTGAGGAACGTGTTATTCTATGTTCACAAGTACGTACGAACCCTCATCCATCGAGCATCTTGGTCCAATCAAACGGTTTCCACTCCTTGATGAAATTCTCAACACTATGCTGCAGCTCCTGCAGCCGAGTCCCCACTCCGCCCCTCCCCCCTGTGGCGCGCGCCCTGGCGCCGAACCTGTCGGGGTCCATGTCCATCATGCCCGCGATCACATCGCGCCCAAACGACGCCTTGAACGCGCTCTCGTCGTCTATGACATGGCAGTACCCGCCCTGAGAGGAGACGGACGGGAAGGATTCGGGAGGGGAGCAGTGGAGCGAAGTGAGGACTGGGGCGTGCCATCTTACCAGCAAGGTCATGTTGCCGCGCCTGCTGGTTTTCGCCTGTATGTGCTCGTGCCATCTTCCATATGACATGTGCCATGTGGAACATGCCCTGTTCCACCTGTCATCTGCCATGTGCCATGTGCAATGTACCATGTGTCATGATGTGCCATGTGCCATGATGTGCCATGTGCCATGATGTGCCATGTGCCATGATGTGCCATGTGCCATGATGTGCCATGCGCCATGATGTGCCATGTGCCATGATGTACCATGTGCCATGATGTGCCATGTGCCATGATGTGCCATGTGCCATGATGTGCCATGTGCCATGATGTGCCATGTGCCATGATGTGCCATGTGCCATGATGTGCCATGTGCCATGATGTGCCATGTGCCATGATGTGCCATGGGCCATGATGTGCCATGTGCCATGATGTGCCATGTGCCATGATGTGCCATGGGACATGATGTGCCATGTGCCATCATGTGCCATGTGCCATGATGTGCCATGTGCCATGATGTGCCATGTGCCATGTGCCATGTGCTGTGTGCTATGCGCAACATTGAGCAGAGAGACGCGCAGCATGTTGAGCAGGGCGTGGGCAAGGGCGGGTGACCTGGAGGCCGAACTCGACGTGGAAGTAGGGGAAGTTGGGCGGGATGGCGGCCCTTAGCCCGCCCCTGATGGCGCGCGTGTCCAGGATGCGCTTGCTGTGCTGCTCGCTCCACTCGCTCTCCGCCTCGTCCAGCGCCTGCGGGCAACGCGGAGGTGGGGGGGGAGCAGGGGAGAGAGAGAGAGGAAAGACAAAGAAAGGGGAGAAGGTCGACGAGTGGTGATCACATGGTAACGAGTGGTGATCACATGATAACGAGTGGTGATCACATGGTAACGAGTGGTGATCACATGATAACGAGTGGTGATCACATGGTAACGAGTGGTGATCACATGGTAACGAGTGGTGGCTGGAATGCTGCTGCAGTGCAGCCAGCTGGCGAGGCGTGACAGCATCACAGCAGCAGAGAATGTGAGCACGGGATTGATTCCACATCACAGGTGCTGCCAGGCAAGCTCACGGGTGCTGCCAGGCAAGCTCACGGGTGCTGCCAGGCAAGCTCACGGGTGCTGGCATGCGAGCTCATGGGTGCTGCCAGGCAAGCTCACGGGTGCTGCCAGGCAAGCTTACGGATGCTGCCAGGCAAGCTCATGGGTGCTGCCAGGCAAGCTCACAGGTGCTGCCAGGCAAGCTCACGGGTGCTGGCATGCGAGCTCACGGGTGCTGCCAGGCAAGCTCACGGGTGCTGCCAGGCAAGCTCACGGGTGCTGCCAGGCAAGCTCACGGGTGCTGCCAGGAAAGCTCACGGGTGCTGCCAGGCAAGCTCACGGGTGCTGCCAGGCAAGCTCACAGGTGCTGCCAGGCAAGTTCACGGGTGCTGCCAGGCAAGCTCACGGGTGCTGCCAGGCAAGTTCACGGGTGCTGCCAGGCAAGCTCACGGGTGCTGCCAGGCAACCTCATGGGTGCTGCCAGGCAAGCTCACGGGTGCTGCCAGGCAAGCTCACGGGTGCTGCCAGGCAAGCTCACGGGTGCTGCCAGGCAAGCTCACGGGTGCTGCCAGGCAAGCTCACGGGTGCTGCCAGGCAAGCTCACGGGTGCTGCCAGGCAAGCTCACGGGTGCTGCCAGGCAAGCTCACGGGTGCTGCCAGGCAAGCAAGTTCACGGGTGCTGCCAGGCAAGCTCATGGGTGCTGCCAGGCAAGCTCATGGGTGCTGCCAGGCAAGCTCACGGGTGTTAGAATATTCTCCCTTCATTCTATTAGCCTACATCGTTTCATTGTCTTAGGTACTTATAAGCACCCCACTAGGGTGTATACACCCAAGTTGGGGGTTGGGTTCCCAACCTTATTGGGTTCCCAAATTGCTTGGACTCCCAATTACTGGAACCCCCAATAATCCCAACCAAGATTATTGGACCCACCAATAATCTTGGCTAGGATTATTGGACCCCCAATAGGTTGGCCAACTCAACTTATTGGGGTCCCCAATAATCGTGGTCACCTCCCAACCAAACCACCCCTCCTACTCCTCACCTATGTATACCCACTCTTTTTGTAATACGACCATCACTTCAGTTTCTCACATGGTTTCAGAGCTTATGGCTCACGCCTCTTCATTCGATCCCTAGCCACCTCGCGCGCAACGCGCCTCTCCCCGTGCCCTTAAGCGCCCCTCCCTGCGCCCCTCCTCGCGTCCTTAGTCGCTGCGTTTTCGCGCGGCGCTCTTGCCGCATTTCGACGCGGCGCTCGGCCGCATTTCGACGCGGCGCTCGGCCGCATTTCGACGCGGCGCTCGGTCGCATTTCGCCGCGGCGCTCCTGCCGCATTTCGACGCGGTGCTCGGCTGCATTTCGACGCGGCGCTCGGCCGCATTTCCGCGCGGCGCTCTTGCCGCATTTTGGCGCGGCCCTCCTACTGCATTTCGGCGCGGCGCTCCTGCCGCTTTTCGATGCGGCGCTCGGCCACATTTCGACGCGGCGCTCAGCCGCATTTCGACGCGGCGCTCTGCCGCATTTCGACGCGGCGCTCGGCCGTATTTCGGCGCGACGTTCCGCCGCAATTCGACGCGGCGCTCCCGCACCATCTTGACGCGGTTCTCCCGCCTTATTTCGACACGCCGTCTCCTCCGCACTCCGTCGCTTCCTCCCCCTTTGTGCAGTCCCGGTGCCCCCGCCTAACAAGCGGGATTCGGCCGGGCTGACCTCTGTGTCGGCGTGCACCGCACGCAACTGCCCACAGCTGCCGATCGTCGCCATCCGCGCCGGCCATCGCCTTTCGCGCCGCCGCCCGCCGAAGGTTTCGCCTACCGCGACTTAAGAGCTGCGCTCCGCGCACCCGCCTTTTTCCTCCTCCCCCCCTTCCTCCCTCCCTTCCTCTCCTCCTCCCCCCTTCCTCCCTCCCTTCCTCTCCTCCTCCCCCCTTCCTCCCTCCCTTCCTCTCCTCCTTCCCCACCAACAGCAGCAGCTGCATCCCCCCCCCCCCCCAATCAGCCGCAGCAGCCGCAGCCGCACCCTCCACCGCCCTCCACCTCCTCCCCACTCCCCTCATCAGCCGCAGCAGCCGCATCTCCCCCCTCCACCTCCTCCTACTCCCCTTCCTCCTCCCACCAGCAGCAGCAGCCGCCTCATCAGCAGCAGCCGTATTTCGCCCCCTCCCCTCCCTCCTCCTTCTCCCCTCTCCCCTCATCCCCAGCAACAACAACATCAGCACCCGCAACTCCACCATGACCACCGAAGCACTCGCCGTCGACATCTCCACCATCGACGTCCTCGAGCTCATCGACGACGCCGTCCCTGTCAACTAGGCTACCTTTGCCGAGAGCCTCACCAACGTCCTCGGATCCGCAATCATCAACGACTTCTGCCTCCTCAACATTCTCCTTGGCACTGACGCAGGGCAGCCCCTAGAGCGCCCTGCTGATATCTCCCATGCACCTCGCGCCCCACCTCCGGCCCCCTCGGGACCGGTCCCCACCAAGCCCTCCCCACTGGTCTACACCGACGACCCTGATCGCTGGGCTCGCGTGCAGCACCAGTATGACAAGGACTTTGAGGAGTACACTCTCCTCCAGCACGCGTATGACGCAGAGCAAGCTGCGCACGACGCTGCCAACACACTTCTCCAGCAGCACAAGGACGCCACGGCTAAGTATGCTGACGACTTTCGTGAGTACCGTCGTCGCCACTCTGCCTGGAACATTGCCAACCGCAAATGTCTCGCTATCCTGTCTGCATGCGTTCCTTCCTCCCTCAAACGCGAAATTACCCCCTCCTCCGCTCCCGAGTTCTGGAAAGAGCAATGTGCCACCTATGACCTCCAGGACACCAACTCTCTCCTTGCGCTCCACCGCGCCTTCCTCGACATCAACCTCGACTCCTGCCCAAACGCCCTCGCCTTCACGCGCCGCCTCCTCACCACTGCCAAACGCCTTGCCGATCGTCGCCCCCCTTCCCGACTCCCTCATCGTTTGTCGCCTCCTCGATGGTCTCACACCCATGTACGAGGCCCGTCGTGTGGCGTTCAATGAGGTCCACGCCAGCTTCCCACCCGACTCCGCCTATGTAGCTGCATGGATTATGAAAACTGAAGCGGAGCTTCTCCGCCAGTCTCCTCCGACGGCTCATGCTGCCCAAGCAAAAGGAGGACGTGGTGCTGGCCGTGGCGGTACCTCGGCGGGACGATCAGGTGGTGGACGTGGCGGGGGGCGCAGTGGAGGACGCGGGGGTAGCAGTGGTTCCAGCACCACCGGCGGTTTCTCCCCGTGTCAGTATCTCATCCGCAACGGCCCTAACAAGGGTAAGCACTGCCTCCAAACCACCCATGCAACCACCACATGCTTCAAGGCCCTCACTGATGAGTGGCTTGATCGAGGCAACACGGGCACGCCCCCTCGCTGGTCCGCTATCACTCGACCTCCCACTCCCTTTGATGTTCGTACCCTCCCCACCAATCAGCCCTCCTCTACCTCTCTCCACCACATCCTCGCACAGCACCTCCCTCCACAGATCCTCCAGCAGGTCACACCCCTCCTTCCGTCCCCGCAGCCGCAGCAGACTCAGCAGCCGCAGCAGACCCAGCAGCCGCAGCAGTCCCAGCAGCAGCCGCAGCAGCTCCTGCAGCAGCTCCTCCAGCAGCTCCAACAGTCTCAGCAGCCCCAGCATTCTCAGCAGCAGCCCTCCCCTCCCTCCGCCTGGAGCTCCGGCCTCTCTGCTCCTGCTACTCCTGCGCAGGCCCCCACCGGACCTCCTGGCTTTACCCTATTTCCCTCTCCTGGCTTCATCAACCATGTTAGCCATGCGTCTCCTGCCATTTCTCCAATGTATCCCGAGTCTATTAATGAAACCACCTTCCCGTACTCCGTGTCTCACCCCACCCCTCCTTCCATTGAGTTTGTCATCGACAGCGGCGCCAGCATCACAGTCCTTCGTGACGCTGGTGCCCTCACCCCCCTCCCTAACCCCTCCACCATCATTGGAGCCGATTCTACTTTCTCGGTCACCTCCCCCCATACCTCCACTCTTCCCTGCCCCCTCTTCCCCTCAGGTTCAGTCACTGGCTTCCATGTCCCCTCCCTTCGCACTAACCTCGTCTCCCATGTGTCCTCGCACTCATGTACACCCTTCACACTCCCCGTCCGTCAGCCTGTCACACTGCCTCCACCATCCCTCCCCTCCCCCCTCCCCTCTTTCCTCCGCAACCTCCCCCCACCTCCCCTCCCGCCCCTCCTGCTCCCCCCCCATCTTAGTGCCATTGTCGTTATTTTACACATCCTGCCATCCTCCTCCACCACCGCCTAGGTCACCCCAACTTTGCCACCCTCCACAAGGCTGTCGCCTCCGGGCTCCTCAATGGCCTTCCCCTCACTCTCCCCCCACTCCCTCCCCTCCCCCGCCCCCCCTTGCACCATCTGTGTCCAGAGCAAGCTCAAGCAGCTTCCTCATAAAAGTCACCCTTCCTGCGCCCCAGAGCTCCTGGATCTTGTCCACATGGATCTCTGGGGCCCCAACCCCTCCCCCACCCGTCAAGGGCACCGCTACGTCCTCGTCCTGGTCGATGATCGCTCACGATACACCTCGGTCTCCCTTCTTCGCACGAAGGCCGAAGCACCAGCCTTTATCATCGCCTGGCCCGAGCAGGCACGCACACACTTCGGTCGCCCCGTTCGACGCTTCCATTTCGATGGCGGCGGTGAATTCCTCAA